CAATATCCAAATTGGGGATTAAACATTTACAATGAACCTTTAAAGCAGAGAGATGAACCTAATAAATTACAACTATATAAAGTATTTATTTTGATGTATGGTCTTAAGAAACATGTGTGAACTTGTCAAGTCGGAAACACATAAAAGGGTATTGCTGATATCATGCAGAATGTATCATGGCCTTCATTTAATTCAAGGTCACTTAGGAAAATACGGATTGACCTGATGAATGATCTGAAGGAACATAAGTTAACTTGTCAAGTCAATAATACAAAAATGGGGTTCGCTCATGACCAGTGTGTTATGGCTTGACGCAGTCATTTGAACGAGTTCAAGGTCACCGACAGCGAAACTGTACATTCCTTTACTGTTTTTCTACTGGTGAAATATTGCAAGTTAATACCCCTTACAAGATTGCTTGGTTACCTTAGAATGTCGCATGACCTTGACTCAATGTCACTTCTTCCTGTCCTCAGCTCCAACGGAAGACCTACTCGTTGGTTTGCAACGAACTTGTATTGTTCTATAGATAGGAGATGGTACGTAATGTTTGCTCCATGTTTGTGACGTCACAATGCCAAAATGACGTCAATATGTAGATAACTTGTGACAAAAAATGGTGGCCTCAGTCGTACCTTAGCAACGAACGTCTGTAATGTTCAACGTTATCTTGAAAGTTCCTTTGCAGTAGCATATAATAAATTGTACAAGGTTTATGAGACTGAAGACAAAATCCTTACCAGGAGTTCAATCATTAATTGGATTGATTGTTTTAGTGAAGGAAGGCAGTGGTTAAAAATTATGTTTGTTCTGGTGCCCAGCGAAAGTAAGCTGGGGAAGAGATTTGTCCTTAATTGAGCAATTTGTTATTAAAGATCGCTAAGTTACAGTTAGAAACATAATGAATATTTTATATTTTTAATATTCAATAATATTTAATATATTTAATAAAGTTATTAAATCCCTAAAATATCGTTTACTTTGAACATATCAGATATAATAAAAAGTAGGCGCCCATATTTTATCCACAATCGATAAACGACGCACCCAAGACAAAGGAGTCGAGTTGTGATCGTCACCATGCTCATTCTTGGAAAAGATATCCTTATCCACCCATTCTATTACAGAGATTTGGCCATTTGTGACAAATGGACTATTCTTGTAATAAAAAATAACTTGCATGGTAGGAAATATAAGACTCGGAAAAAACAGAACTCAACGAAGCATGTCATTTGACCGCCTGGATCAAGTGATTCGCGCATGGGCAGAATGGTGGCAGATGTGCTTTAAAATCGGAGAGGACTATCAACACTGAAACCTAATTTTATTTCTTTTATGAAAATAATTCAATTAGTTCGCGAACTTTTTGATCACCCCTCGTACATACATTTTTTGAGATGACCATTATAATAACGCAAAATTGGGATACGTTTAATCTTATTCTTCAATATAGATTAAAATATGTATCCCAGTATTACTTAACAATAGAATCATTCGTTCATATTGCTTATCCTAATCCTTGTTGATAATATAATAAAAATTTTAATCCTTGTATTTATTTCAAAAGTGGATATTGTTTCAATGTTGGTAGCAACGTTAAGTTGGGTTTGAAATGCATTCTCAACCACTACTGAAATAATTATTTCATTAGTGAGCGTTATTTCAATAGCGGTTTGCGAAATAAATTGTCTTTAGAACTTCTATATAATAGGAGATTTGATCAGCTTTCCAAAGCATATGGTTATGTAGCAAGTGCTGTCGTTATTTCTCGTACAGTCTATGCCGAAGATTGAGAAATCTGGGAGGAGGCCTCTGAATCATTTATTTACAGAAAGTGTGACCTATCTTCAGACCAGCTAGGTGCATCTAATGATAGTGTATAATAGCAAAAACACGTATGTGGTGTTGTTTCATACACAGAGAGAGAGAGAGAGTGTGTGTGTGTTTTGCAGGGTTTTTTTAATAAAATATCTTCACACTGTGATTGTTCTAGCTATGAAAGTGAAACGTTATGTAAATGTACAATGTACATGATCAGTATTTGAATAGATATTCTCCCTTCTTTGTTTTTAAACCTGTAAACTCTTTATATTTTCTGCTTCACTTGTAGCTTCTTTAAAACCGAAGTGCTTATTTTTTTAGACTGTCAGGTTTCTGACTTACATTGATCACTTGTTTAAAGTCATTACATTTAGATGGTAGGAATTTTAATTATTTTCCTTTCTTCTTATAGAAATTTAGTTTGATACCATCACTTATTGATGGTGTCTCCTTGAATCTGTGAAAATGTCATTTTTAATACAGTAATTATGAAAAGAATCCATGCTAAACAAATCATGTTGTGTGGTCACTTTATTTGTTCAGCTAAATCAAATAAAGTTAACCCGACCGGTCTATTCTATCTACTCATTTAATTACCTCATAAGATTTAAATCTGTTACTTCTAAATACCGGACTGGACTTTGACCCATTTTCTTTGTAGTAGGTTTTTATTGATATAAGTATTTAAAGTTCTCCATATTTACAAGGAACCCAAGAATGATACACGTGGAGTCCTTCGATTTGGATCTTTGTGGTAATATATACATGTTTATATATTTTTTGTCTTGCTTTTAGTCAGTTTTGCTTCAAAATTACATTGATATTTTCTAAACAAATAATATCTTGCAATAGCTTCTCCCCCAAACGTGTACTCGCCAAAAAAAAGATTAAGCAGCGTAATTAAGAGGCCTCCTAAGGGGATACAAGTAGAGTTTACCTGTATTTATCTGGATTTAAGAAAACAGTTATACAAGCATAAAAAGAATATTACATTAACTTTTCAAGAATATATCATTAAATAAAAATTGCTATTTAAAAAATAATCATACTATTTGAAATAAATATGATTTTACAAACACTGAATATTCAATACACTGTATAGTTATTTTCCTATTGTATTTTCACTCAAAACATTTTGTATGATTTTTCAATAGGACTTTTTTTTACACAGTTTATGTCCCTTAAACTATATCTATCAATAGTTCAATACAATACTATAGCTTGAAAAAATATTTTATTTAATATTTCCCCAACTTAATGCATTTAAATGCTTAAATATGAAATGTGATTGAACTTGGCACATCTTTATTTTTATAATTTACTATAATTCATCATTTAAACACACATTATTCATATAAATCATGATAACACTCTTTTTTTTTTTTTACATACTACCTTCATTAATTCTGCATACTGTGATGCAACCTGATTGAAAAGAATTAGAAAAATGATTAAATTCAATAAATTTATCTTCTTTATTAAATATTGCATTATGCAGCTAATTTAATTGTACATGCAAACTCTACCTTAACCCCATTTGAAGGCCTCTTAACCACTTCATAGCATTCGTTTGCTTCGGTCATTTGCAGTTCTGGAGACACACACTTCCAGTTAAATCCATAGGCCATGTTATTTTGTGTATTTATTTCAAATATATTTTCACCGTCACGGTAACTCAGTCGGTAGAACGCTAGTTCTGTGATCGGATGGTCGTGTGTTCGAATCACGACCGCGACAGACCTGAGTCGATAAAATATTGGTAGCAATTGTTCTTTCGCCAAGCGCTCGGCACTTTGGAGTGAAAATTGAGGGTCTTTCGGATGAGACTTTAAAACCGAGGCCCCGTGTCACAGTAGGCGTTGGCACAATAAAGAACCCTCACTGCTCAATGGCCCTATGTGCCGAGTAAAGGTCTAAATTTGAAGCCATTCACCGGTATATGGTGACGTCTCTATATGAGTGAAAAATTCTCGAACGGGATATAAAACAACACACAATCAATCAGATTTACTTTCATTTCCTGTTATAAACTACACAAGTTTATTTCCTTGAGCCAACTGACTCAACAAAGTAACAAGTACATATTAATAAGAACTTGAAAATAAATACATGAAAACTGTGTTGTACATCTTTTTTTCCCTTAACAATGTGGCAGCATTCAAAAATTTGCCCAAATTAGAAGATCGTTCACATTATTAGTACTTAGCAATTGAATAGGTACTGTAACACTTCATTGCATTTTAAAACAAATTGTCTCTGTGCATGATGCCAAAAATTGTTTAATCCAAATATATTTTTAAAGAATAAAAAGGGTTTTTGTCTATCTTAGCTAACCTTCAATAACGTAATTTCTACCTAAAACTATAAAATTACTTCGATATTGTGTACTCCCTGAATAATTAAATAAAATCCTCATCCAAAATCTTTAAATGCTAAATTATTCGAAATATTTATATACAATTAGTCAGAAAATTTCCTTATTGAAAAATGAAATGTGTCTTTCATATGTAACAATTGCATTTTACACTTTTGGTAAATATTTGATCTTGTACGGTGATATAATTTGAAATAGCTTGATATAATAGCATTCATTAAAAAAGGAACAAATAAAAAAGACTTTTTGAAAGAATTTAAATACAGAAAAGCCTCCGCAAAGTATTATATACTATACAGACTTAAAATCTATACTTGACTACAGTATGACGAGTAAAGAAAAAGAAAATCTATATTAGTTAGTTCAGCGTTCATTTCGTTTTTTTTATAAAGACTGGTAACGAATTATGCCTAGAATTAGAATCAGTCGTTTAAGCAAGTGCATACTTGCAAGGATAAAATATAGGCCTGAAGAATTTTTAATAGTATCCGAAAATGACTTGAAACATTTGTTGAAATAAAAGGAAAAAATGCATTGTTTATAACATTATAAATATAAACAATAAAATGTCTTTCTTTTTTTGTTAGTACGGAAATTAACGCCGCAGCTATTGCAGAGAAAACTTAACCCGCTTACGCTGGTTTTGTATTTTTTTTCTGCAATAGCTGCAACGTTAATTCCCGTACTAATAACCAAAGAAAGCATTTTATTTTTTAAATGTTAGGAGAATTTTCCGACCGATTCCCACTGAACTAAATTAATAAAGTGTTGTCAATAACAGAAAACTCTGCTTTTTTGTAGATGATGGTCCAAAATGATGGAAATGGATCAGTCCAGTAACAATTGGCAAGCTGGAAAGAAAGTTCTGGAGTGTAATAAGTACATGTTGACCAACCAAATCCAGTGTGATGTTACATTCAAGGTGGGTGCAGAAGAGAAGGATGTAAGAGCACATAGATATGTTTTGGGCAGTAGAAGTTCCGTATTTTATGCCATGCTGTTCGGAAGTCTATCGGATAATGCAAATGACATCATTGTGCCCGATATTGAACACAATATTTTTCAAGTTCTGTTGAGGTAAACTTTCATATATACATGTATATTTATTGGTCAAATTGTGATGTTGTGTTAGAAGAACAAACCTTTCCAACTGATATTGTTGACATTTAGCAGTTAATAATTTGAATATTCATCCGAGTCGTAGATCGACTCGGTTAACACTCCTTTAAGCAAACATATTTATAAAATTGTATTTTATTGTCAAGAAATTTAATGAAATATCATTTATGAAAAGAAATATTTATAATATTTGTAAAATTGATAACTTTGATTGAAAAAGTACCAGTATGTAGTTTGTTATGCTTTACCTTATAGTTGTCGTACAATTGGAATTACATAATGTGAAGTGAACTTTGACAACGATTGCAACTAGTTGGTAACATAAATTACACATGGAAGTTTATTCATCCCGAAAAAATTGCAAGCTCTGTCGCACATTTATCTCAAGATGTATAAGTTACAAAAAAAGTACATTAAATTAATAATAGGAAATAAAATGATTATACTATAAAGGATTAAAAGATACCCATTACTTTGAATAGTCACACCATAAAGATAGGAGTCCCGTAGAACTTGGGAGAGGGACAGAGGCCAACACCCTCACACACTTTTTCTTAGTGTAGTCTTTTGCTGTAGTTTCAATATGTAAAATTTCATTTAAATGCTGGTTGGCCCCGTCACTTGTTGTCGTTAGGTTGAAAATTCCAGCATTTGAGAAAAAATGTAAGAAAAAGTTATAGAAAGGTCACCCCCCCCCCCCCCCCCCCCGTCTCCCTTTCACCAACGAAATAGGAGTTTGGGCAGTTAATATTCTTTTGGAGGTTTTCCCCTTCCTACTTTTAAATCGTTCTTAAGGACCTGAGACGTGATCAATATTCGGACTTCGCTCCCCCATGTTTATGTCATTGATATGAAACTTATCCTGTATACAATATGCAGGTATTTCTATCTAATTAAAGCGTATGCCAAAAGAATGCATTGGGAATTAAGTAAAAGTATAATTTACTTTTATTCCCATTTTATTTTTAACAACGGGCATGAAGGTCACATGCATGCTTTCATTTTTCTGTTGCATTTCTGTTGTAGGTTCCTTTATTACGAAGAAACGAACATAAATGAGGACACTGTTTTAGGGATTCTGTATGCGGCAGAAAAGTATGGTGTTACTAACCTGAAAGATATCTGTAATTCTTACCTGGAAAACCATATTGGTGAGGAGTCGGTCTGTACAATTATGGAAAATGCAAAACTGTTCAATTTAAATGACTTACTCACCAAATGTATTGACTTTATAGTGCAGTCAGACGCTACTACTAAAACAGTGTTTGAGTCACAAGATTTTCTTGGACTAAATAGAGAGTGTTTTGCGGCACTCATTCAATTAGATAATCTTCCTGTAAATGAGGAATTTCTCTACAAATCATTAGTGTTGTGGTCACATAGAAACTGTGAAAAGGAAGGGAGGGATGTGAATAATCCAGAAAATATTCGAAGCATGATGGGAGATCTTTTGTATCATGTAAGATTTCCTCTCATGTCATTGGAAACATTTTGGATGGTAGCTGGAGACAACATTCTAACATATCAAGAGAAAAATCAAATATCAAAATTTATTTTCGGTTTGTCTGTTGAAAATAAACTGCTTTTCCCAGCAAATCAACGGAGAAAGAACATCTCTATCTATAGAGGCACAGATTATCAGCCCTTCTGGAGGTTCTATGGTAAAATAGATGCACTCAAGTTCAGAGTTAACAAGTCGGTGTACATGCGTGGATTGATTTTGCTTGGTAGTTGTGAAAAAGTTCCGTACACATATACAATAGAAGTCAAAGTAATAAATAGTGATAATAAAACTGTATGTTGGTTTCTAGAGCAACCTGTTACCAACAGTGACAAAGAATTTCAAGTTATCTTTGATGAACACTGTTTACTTGAAGCAAATCAGGATTATATAATTTGGTTAAGGATGTTTGGGTCCAAAAGTTACCGGATGAAGCAGTGTCGCTCCTTAGTTATCGAAGATGACGTTCAAGTTACTTTTAGCAATAGCGAATTGTGTACTAATGGTACGAATGGATCTCGAGGACAAATTCCTGGATTTCTGTGTTCAATACCGTTATGAAAGTAATATTTGTGCTGAATATCGGCATCACTTATTAATTTGATCATGATATATAAAGGACATTTTAAAACCATCTCGTATTGTCTTCTGATTTGTTAAGTTCCTGTTTCCCCTTTCAGACACCTAGTATTGGGGTGTGGGGGTATTGGGGTCACACACTTTCTTCGGAGATTAATCTTTTATGTAATAAAGTAAAAAAAAAAATCATTAGAAGGGCCCTCTTTTTGTTGCAGTTTAGTCAAACCCATGTTAAGGAAAAAGCCTTTTCAAACGTTTTGAAAAAGAGAAAGTTGGAAGGATATGTAACTAAAAATTCTCTTGTCGAAAAGAGAAAGTGGAACATCCTGTCCCTTCTCCACTTGAATTAGCTATTCTTTTTTCAGGCATCTTATCCCTTTCCTTAGAAAGAATTCTAAGTTACAGTGTTCACATCTGTTCATAGTAACAACAGAGTATAATTAAAAAGACACATATCAAAGAAAATGCTGCTGGTTTGTAGATAACAAATAAGATTTTTTCTTGAAATTCTTATCAGTTTCAAAAATTTTAACTTGGTAAGGATCTAAAATATGAATAATCTCAAAAATGCTGTCAAAGTTATTTATTTTATCATTAATTTTTATATCGGGATTGTTTTATGTAATTGTTTGAGATCTATAATATCTTTTTTACAAGAGTACTACAGTACTGTGCCTGGCATAAAGACATTCGTTGTGAATATTTGCAATGACATGTAAATGCAGTGCATTAATTACAAAATGCGGAATATTAAAAAAAAATTTAGAATTCAATCTCTTCAATCATAAGTTCAGCTTGACCAATCGTGAGATTCAAAAAAGTCCCTCTGTTAGATATAACCTAAACATATACATGTATTATATAAAGTACGGACATTGAAATATAAAAAAAAGTTATCGAGACTTTACATTTATTCCAAAATGAATTGATCAATTTGAAAATGTTTAATGATTGTATGCCTCTTACGGAATCACAATTTAACGCTGTAAATAGGCATAAAATTTCAAAATCAGAACATGTGTCATTTATAGGTTGCAACAGATCAAGAATCCAATAAGCAAGAGCGAACTTATTACATTTGTTGATGCTCTGGCTCACACTTGACAAGATATCTCGCTAACACGATTTCAATAGAGTTGAGATTTCAGAGGTGGGTCATATTGACCTTCATTTTGGGTTTTCCAAAAGATGAATCATAAGGCTGTGCTTAATATTTTAAACATCACACATCTACTGTATATTAGGATTTTGGAGGGTTAATTTTGGTGCAAAATTATATGTCCGACTAATATGTGAGTTAATTCTTAGCAAATCGGTAGTAAATTTTCTGGAAGACAAAATATAGTGCTTTCTTAACAACTTTTCTCAAAAGCTGACGAGTGATATACCCTAAGCTGTCATGTCGGAATGTTACTATATATTAACTGTGTGTTCTTAGGGTTTTTTAAATATTTCTACAACCAACAATTCCCAAAAACCGTTGTAAATGCCCTTTCGGGCTTTTTGTATGCAAATATCTATATTTATAAATTAATAAATTTTGCAAATAAACTCTGAAACGGGTGCACCAGAGTTCTTACTTACTCCTCTATGAATACACTAGATACAAGATGATGTCCAAAAACTATATATTTAGATTTCACTCCCATAGTACGTATTCCGCACTCTTCTTCTAAACGCTTGCAGATATTGAGCTGATTTTTGGTATGTGAGTGTATCTTGATGTACTATGGGAGTGAAATCTAAATATAGTTTATGGACATCATCTTGTATCTAGTGTATTCATAGAGGAGTAAGTAAGAACTCTGGTGCACCCGTTTCGGAGTTTATTTGCAAAATCTACTTTCATTTTCTATAAACAACCATGAAATAGCAAAAATGTGAGTACGGTGGCAGTTCCGGTTGGCGGATCTAAGTTATTGGCAATTTTTAATGAAACTAACAACAAGAAATCGTTTATTTATTTCATAAAACGTCATCAATGAATTATTCAATTAAAACTTGATTTAAATGATATAAAAGAAATAAGTTGTGATAACCGGTTAAAAAGGGAAATGTGCAAATTATTTTCGTCATTCATCGATCTTAATATTGACGGAAACTTCTAAAACACCATATAATAGAGCCCGATGTTAAAAAGAAAAACGAGGCGATTACAGCTGCATGAACATAAAAAAGATTTTGTGTAAATATTCATTGAAATAATGGTAAATCATTGATAAAACTATAAGTTGTGAATATATTTATAAAACGAAAGACTAATAGTAGGTTTTCCTTATAAATTTATCGGTAAAATTTGTATATTCCCCAGTCACTAAGAGCATCGTGGCAACGAACCCGAAGTACAATTTGTTATTCGTAATAAACTAGCTTACATGAAAAGAGAAAATTCAAATGCAATTAAAGCTGTTAAAATTTTGTGCATTAATCAATACATTTCAGTTTTTTTTTTCCTGAATACAGTCTTTTGTATCAAATACTCGGCCTATTCATAGGGCGTTAAAAGCTAATGTTTACAAAAAAAATCAATTTATCATTAAAATGTGCATATCCGCTGCTTTTATCCTTGACGGAAATGAAATAAGAGCATTCGAAGTACAATATCCATAACATAGTATAACAGATTTCACAATATACGTCAATTAATGAAATTATTATTTTTCAAGTTTTTACAAAGGGGTTGGGGGTTGAGGAGGGGGGTACATCTACTTCTGCTCGAAAACTAAATGCGGGATTTTGAACAAAGTATTTCTTCCTGCTATAAGCCTTAAGGCTGTCAGTAGAAACTACAATATATATTGTTGGAATTTTTCTGTCGGTAGTGGTATAAATTCAATTCTCCGCGCTTGTGCGGGATTTCATCTAGTATCATTAATGTGAACAGTGTGGTTAAATTGCGTTTCATTCGGGATTATCTCGCTTTCAATATTTGTAGCTAGCTATCAGAAAAAATCTTATAGTTAATTTTACTTGAGCTATAATCTACGCATTAAACATGCATTTGGTTAAGGCATAATGGCCCTTTGCTCTAAATTTCGACAAAAAAAAATTATTAGATTGAAATGATTTTATTGAGAATAAGGTATAAACGCTGGTAAGACAAGTTATCGGACATCTCATGATTATTTTGATAGGAAGTTATATCTCTCATCAGGGGTTCATTCCAATTTAAGGATGACGTTTATTCAATGTTTTAATTAAAGAATTGGATTGCTATAAAGTACAATTTCTTTAATCTAAATGGACAAAATATCCATATTACACACGTAAATCATATTAATGTCAATATCGAAATTTAGTGTTTTACTTTTTGTAAAAAATATCTAAGAACAAATTATGGGATGCTGAAGAAATTCGGACAAAATTTTAATTAAATTTACATTATTTTAGTTTGGGGTTTTTTCATGCGATATTATTCTGATTGTGGGTCAATCGCTCGCACAGTCTTCTGAGAAATAAATTGATGATAAAAGGATATTAAAAGTCCCGTTTAGAGCTTTAAACGTCAGAAAAAATATTATGATGAAAACCTTAAACAAAGGACATACAATAATGGTGATTTCGTTTGAAGAAGGTATCCACCTTGGGCAAAATGTGAACTGCAGGACACATTGAACATTGACATATCATGTTGTAAATTTTGAATTTACTAGGGGGAGGTAAATGCAAAATTTACAACATGATAGACATCTTGAATGCAAACCGTCACGGTAGCTCAGTCGGTAGGCGCTTGCTCCGTGATCGGAAGGTCGTGTGTTCGAATCACGGCCGCGACTGACCTAAGCCGATAAAAAATAGGTAGCAACTGTTCCTTCGCGAAGCGCTCGGCACTTTGAAGTGAAGGATGTGGGTCCTTCGGATGAGACCTTAAAAACCGAGGCCCCGTGTCACGGTAGGCGTTGGCACGATAAAGAACCCTCACTGCTAAATGACCCTGAGTGCCGAGTAAAGGTCTAAATTTGAAGCCCTTCACCAGTATATGGTGACGTCTCTATATAAGCGAAAAATTCTCGAACGGGACGTAAAACAACATACAATCAGTCAATCAATCTTGAACGCAAATGGCAGCCTCGGGTAACTCCCAAGGCTACGATTGTCTGAGGGTCGGTGAGAGTTAACATTTCGATACAATTACCTTGTTATCAAATACATAGGGTGGGGCCACTATAAGTGTTACAAAGGGGGGGGGGGGGGTCTGGTAAAGAACAGCAGGGCCAAAGTAACTTAGGTGAGCGTTATGCCCCATGGGCCTCTTTTTTTTCCCTCAGTTTCCCCAATATTATCTGTAGAATTTTTTGTGATAACACAAAGGAATATATGTATCTATCGTAAAATCGAATGTTAACTGAGGTTTTTATACAAATTAATAGGTCATTATTTTCACACTAAATTGTCTATGGATTTTTCCGTTTGCCCGATCATGACAAGCAGCACACGGCGGGGGTGTCCGGTCGACAGGGGATGCCTACTTCTCCTTGACACCTGATCCCATTTCTGATGCTTTAGAGGTCCTTGTTTGCTCTGCTTCCAATTTGCATTGTTTCGGTGTACTTTTGAGCTTGAATACTGTTCGTTTTCTTTATATTTTTTTTCAATTTTTACAGAGTACTCAGTACTTTGTTTATCTTAATACCTCAATTAAGCATGTTTATACATGTTCCTCATTCAAAAAAAATATTGAATTTTTTCAGACAGGATGGCCTGTGACGGTACCTATTGTCGTTTTGTACATAGTGTCGTCGGCGACAATATGTACCTACCCTCAATATGATTATGATATTGTGATATTATTATTATGATTATCATATCGTCGTACATCGGTACATATTTTCGCCGGCTGAAAAGTTACACATGTACATATTGTTGCCGGCGACAGTATGTGCCTACCCTCACTGTACATATTGTCGCCCAACAGTTCGAGTTGCTAAGGGATTTTTTTGGTAGTTTTGTGAATTCTTATAAGTGTTTAAATCAGAAGTGTC